TGTTTCGGTGCTCACACAAGCACCAAAAGGTTTTTAAATGGGTGTTTAGCGCATGCCTCGCTTGTATTTATGTGTCTGGATGTGTAGGGTGACATTTTCATCTGCGTCTGGGAGAAAAGTTTACAACTGGATTAATTGAAAGCGGATTAGGAAAAAATGTCACGTTTCATGAGAAAGGAAAACTGAGATGTTTTGCAGAACCTTATCTCTTTGGTCATAATGCCATCAAGGGGATCAGCATTTTTACAAAATATCTTTGTGTTTCTTGCGTCACACTTAAAAAAAGAAAAAATCTTGTGGTGTTGTCCTTTAAGTGGTTTGTAGCGTTACCAAGATGTGGTGGAAAAATATTCCTCAACAGAACAGAGAAGTTCAACCCAAATGTCAAGATGTATGCTTGGTATTTTTTATTTTATTTTTTTGAAATATCCGAATGCGACATATTGTGATAATATCAGCTGCTGTCAGACAGACCAGCGATATCGGTCACAAGTTTGCTGCACCCTGCCGGTGGCTGCTGCGTTAGTGTGTGTGTGTGTGTGTGTGTGTGTGTGTGTGTGTGTCCCCGCTGGGTTTGAGTTGGGGTTGTTGGGTCATTGTAGACCAGACGTCAGGATGTATTGTGTATCCGTACCAGCGAGTGACGCTCGCTCTATTACTTCAGCGCTCCTTTCCCAGGATTGCACTGCCTGCCACATCCAATCCTTTGCAACCATCAGCCTTATAAATCTTTGAATATATTCTCACATACTGCATTCTGTACGTGCGATGCGTTCTCAAATTTTACACCTACTCCCACGCCCACTCCCACTCTGTGTTATTTGTGGTCCGCGACGTTATTTGTCTCCGTGTTGTGAAACATTCGCTGTCTCGCCCGTAGTTACACCAGCGAAATGTGAATCATGAGCGATAGCTTCACAGTAAATGACTGTGTTATTATTTTCTTACTGAGTACCGTTTTGATAGCAAGAGTGATGGATTAGATAATAGTGTACATCCATTGAATTTGCTCTGCTGGGATTCCAAATGTTACCTGTTGAGTGTCAGAGTGCGCACATGATTAAGGTCCCAATATTTTTCTCTCTCTCTCTCTCTCTCTCTCTTTTTAGCACATCTGTCTCACAGTGAAAAGTTGTGATCTCTGTGTGGCATTTGCCTGTTCCTCCTGTGCCTCGTACCGTGAAATCCTACTTGTCAATTTAAATTTTAGACTCTCAGTTGTCCGTAGGTGTGGATGGGAGCCTGAAATGTTGTTTGGATTCATGCGCCCTGCAATGTGCTGGCGACTTGTCCAAGCGTGTATTTGCCTCTTTCCTGAAGTCAGCAGAGATGGGGTCCAGTTACACATGACTTTCAAGGAAGACAAATTGTATAAACTATCCCCTCCGTTTTCAAATCCACCGAGCTCATGCAACCGCTGCGATGCTTCCATTTCAAAATCGCTGCCACTCCACTGCATTAATGTGGGGTGACTTTTATCGAGTTCCTGCCTAATTTCTTGGTGAGCACATTGACCTTTCAGGGCGGCTTCCGTGTGGCGCTACCTTACTGTTCACAAACCCGAACGGTCATGGAGAGGGACTTCTTCAGGCACACACATCCATCACATGCTACGAAACCGTAATAATCTTGCTCTGAAGCAAAACGACTGATCACGACTCCCTCTAAAATCTGATGTTAGGTTATCCCCAATGGGTTGAGTTAAGCTTCCTCAGCCCCACACCTCGGTGTGCCAAGGCATCAAACTGCTGCTCTTGACAGTGAGCCTGTGTGTGTGTGTGTGTGTGTGTGTGTGTGTGTGTGTGTGTGTGTGTGTGTGTGTGTGTGTGTGTGTGTGTGTGTGGGTGGGTGTGTGGGGGGGGGATTGTGACATTTACAGTATTTTAATCCTAGGCAATTTAATTGGTGGAAGGTGTGTGCTGCGATGAGTTTTAAAAGTTTTGTCATGTTTTTCTGGATCACAAAAAAAAATGCATTTAAACAAGGGTGTGTAGACTTTTTCTATCCACTATACATGGCAAAGCCAGCTAGTGAGTCTGTGTGTGTGTGTGTGTGTGTGTGTGTGTGTGTGTGTGTGTGTGTGTGTGTGTGTGTGCGTGTGTGTGTGTGTGTGTGTGCGCGTGTGCGCGTGTGTGCGTGTGTGTGTCGCATCAAAGCGATTGTGTGCATGAGCAGCTCACAGCATGCAATACACACCGTATTCTGGAGAATGAATGTCTCCCGGGAACAGGGCTTCCCTAATTTAACAACAAAGGGTTCGTATTGGTCACGTTCATTCAGTAGAAAATTCCTCATTTAAGTGTTAAATTCAAATTGAACGATGGCTTCCCCTTTTTACAACATCACTGTCACATTTCAACATAAGAGGCACATGTTCCAATCTGGTGAAGGACTGCTCTAAAAAAAAAACCCAAAAAAAAACGGAGATTGATAATCAGTCATTGGTGACCAGCACGGCTAGCGTGTGCGACAAACACCGATGACAAAGCTGTTGTCAGCTTTTGGAATTCTGTTTTCTGCATGACTCAGTTGTATGCCGTGTTAACAGCTCGTATGCCATTTTTATTTTGCCCCTTTTGTTTTTGTACTCTTGACGGGCAAGACAATGTTTTCCCTGACAAACAGCAATTCTTTGAAGACGCAAATGAAATATCGAAGACAAAAATCAGCGCCGCTCTGAATTTGTTGGTTTTTCCACGGTTTTATGGATCCAGTCAGAGTACTGTTGGCAAACAATGATTCCGTGTTATATGATTTGGACTTTAATTTCCTTGTGTGTTCAGCAACGCTGTACTCCTCCAATTCATATGCAAATGCGTACTGCTCTGCTAATACGAAAACTATTTAGTGATTGCGGTTCATGGGGCTTAATGGATCCACAAGTGCATGCATCCCAAATTAATACTTTGCGTTTGCATCACCTTGGAATAAAACATTTCCAAGAAAAGGAGCTTCAGCTTGCTTTTGCCACCACGCTGACATCATTTGAAGAGTGCGTATGGTACCGTTCAAATAAGGTGGCAAAATACTCGAATCCATTTTAGCGTGGCCCAGGCAAGTGAATCTTGTGATTGAGCAGACCTTTGCTTCATTTTTTTTCTGCCACTTCATCCCAAACACAACTGGAAATGACTAAAAAGGCACATCTTGACAATAGAAATAGTGGGGGGAAAAAAAACAGAAAATTGCTTTTCTCTCATGATGGGTCGGTGCCAGTAGGAAAACACAGCCCTTGACTTACTTAACAGGCCAAGCTGTTATCTAGTTTTCCTACAGTAAAAAGCCAAGATACATGCCAAGGCTTTTGTGGGTTTTCTTTCGGTGGCCTCCATTAATTTAGAATACACTATGTAGACAGGTGCAAATCAGCGCATCAGGCACAATAGTTTGCGCATCGCCAAAGACACAAACATGTCTCTGTCACTCCACATTGCCTTTGTACTTATCAATCCAGAGCATGCTTTTATCTAGTGCAAAGTCTCCACACAAGTTTGATATGAGGGAACACACGCACACACACACACACACACACACACACACACACACACGAAATAAAAGACATGCCAGCCGCCTTGAGTGACAGATTGTAGTTATCATGTCACCCTGTCATGCTGACTGATGAGGCATTGATGATGGTTGTTATGGCAACCATCAGTGGGTGGATGTATATCATCATAAACGAACAGTTCTACAAATAAGTGAGTGCTTCTGAGCTGCGGGGAGGGATGGAGGGGGGGGGGGAGACTCAAGGGGAACAAAAATGCAGTGTAGCGGTGCACATGGCTGTGCACTTTAAGTAGTGCTTAATTTGAGCAAAGGAACCAAGTGCAAAAACTACAGCCATCTTTGCCATGTGATCCTGGTCTATGCTCATCTGTGAATTTGCCTCGTGTGACAACAAATCTGAAAGGTTCCAGTACGCTGTGGGGAAATAAAGGCATCTACCGGCGTTTATAAATCATACCCCGTTTAATAAAATGGAGACCTGTGACTGTTCGTCAGAATTGGCGAATGTATGTACAAATGAGTTGTTTTGGCTAAAATTAGCTGTTGCGGCTTTTAATTACGTGCGGTTTGTAGTCCGGAAATTACAGTATCATCAATAAACCAATTTGTAACATGTGCCTCATTCCTAAAATGTTCGTTGTAGGACTCCAAGCAGGCAGCTTTGCTTGTGTACATTTCAACAGACCTCAAAACTGAACTCGTGTGCAGCAATGCGATTAGCAGAGGGCGCTATGAGATTTCGCTGTTGAGAGTGGCGTTATGTAAAGCGTCTCTACACCACAGGGTCCCTATTTTAAGAAAGTGGCAGCCAGTTGGGGTTGAAGTGTTGCGGTATTCCGAGCGGGCTTGCGTAACAAAGTAGACTGACGCTCCGCTTACCACAACGGACCACAACATATCTGTCAGCTTTTGTCTCAAGTCTCAACGTTTTTGGTTTTTGTTTTTTTTTTTGCTTCTTACTCCATCCGTATATAACCAATGACTTACTTTATCGTGCCTCCTGTTACAATTTTTTGTAGTTTTGTCATGGCCCCAAGATGACATACAACATAGATTTGTCATGAACGATCACAGAAGCTGTAGCATGTATGTGTCAGTTATGCATTAAAGCTGGGCGGGGAATAAAACACAATGTTTGAAATATTCCCAAAAAATGCAGCAACGCTAACACACATGTATGCATCTGTGCTGAATTTTGAAGTGGAGCAGTTGTATGGTTGTGGAGATTTTCAGTGGCTATCTGATTGGATGCGGTGTAGCACAACTTTCCATTGCTGATGACAAGAGCGCCGTCATTTTATTTTATTTTATTTTTTCATCAAATGCTTCAGATCATAATCAAGCGGCATTATTCAAAAGCTTCATCATCTTTATGATGAATAAACTTTAAACTTTGATTTCTGGTATACTCTCCGAAGATGCGCATTGGACATGAACTTCTGCTCGTCTTTGCAACCAAGTGATGTGCGCTTGTGTTTATGCTTTGCTTGCAGTTCGGCAGATGAACAGTTTCGGTGGAATGCTCAAGGTAATTAACCCTTGCCGTTTCGCCACTCGTAGTTTCGTTACAGGCCACCATTTTACGGATGCAGTGCATTCTTCATGTATGCGGCTCAATCCCGGAATCATTGTGTTCTGCTTTCTCAGCCGATGGACAAAAGGATATTGAGGATGAGTTGACCACGGGTTTGGAGTTGGTGGACTCCTGCATCCGTTCCCTCCAGGAGTCAGGAATCCTTGACGGTGTGGAAAGTGAGTTTATTTATCGGCAACATTTTGTGTGCCTGCGTCTGTTTTGTGTTTTCTAACACAGATTAAAAGTGAATTTAAATGGGGCCTGATTAAATTCAAATTATTTCCCACACTTGATATTCCTTAAAGCAAACCTGCAAACCAAAACAAAGCACAGCTTCAGCCAAAATGCATTCAAACATTCAAAAAACTTTTTTGTATCTATTCAAATTTGTTCTCAAGGGAGTTAATTTGTCGAAAACAGCGCCTTTTTTTCCCATTTAATGATTTCAAATTTGAAAGATGAAGGTCTTCTTATCTGCAACTGGTCTTCGCAGTTCGACCATGATAAAAAAAACAAAAAAAAACAACAACACTTGAACACTCAAATGTTTCATTTTATCAGAAGCGAGATGGCAATCTTTTGTCCTGTACATAAAATCATATAAGATATAAAATGCCCTATCCCGCAAGTGACGTCCTGTACCCAAATCATATCCATCCATTTCATTTTCTATACTTGTCCGAATTAGGGTCGCGGTTCAGTCAGAGTCTCAGGTCCAGCTCGCTGCGGGTTTTTTTTCCCCCCCAGCCTTTAGAATGTGTTGTTGACATTTCATTTCTGATTTTCTTCAAACTATCTATAAGAAGATATTCCACCACAACTTTTTTGCTGCGTGTTCCGAGCTAAGCGCCGTGCCACCGGGTAGCCTTTTTTTTTTTTTTTTTCAAGCTTTTGTTCATGTGGCGCATCTGCCACGAGCTGTAATTAAACACATCACAGCCATATCAGTCTTTTGTCAGAAATGAAAAGAGACAGCCAAGGAGTAAAAATAGTGGCCTAATGAAATATATACGAGCGATGGGAGCACAAGTCACAGCCCTAACTGCCCTTGAATAAAACACAAAGTGATCTAAACACAAACGCGCTCGTCCACACTGCTGGCTATTGAGAGGTTTGATCGCAGTGGCCTACTTCATTTCACTCGGGTTTGAAAATGCGCTCAGCGGCCACAATATTAGGCACCCGTCCAATCTCCAAATTCAATGCAAATCGCTATGGAAAAACAATCTTTACGAAGATAATAAGGCTTATGAAATCTTGCAAATACCCCTTGTGATACAGCGCACCACATACTAATCAGGCGCCGCCTCATTGCCGCATCGATCCCTGTCAATCCAAACTAAGCATGACTCTCTTTCCGAAAGCATTTCATTCGATCTGTTTCGTCTAACTAAGTAGGTCATACAGGTGTGCTGTCGCTAACGTTCACGTACTGGTCGTGTCAGCCTCAGAAATCTAAAGCGAAATATGTCGTGGATTGATTCATGCATTTCGTTGAGAGTTGGTGGTCTGAAGAACACTATCAAATAATTGAGACGACCCAGCAGCCCGAGGCAGGAAGGCAGTCAAAGTCGCTTCCAAAAGTTGCTGATTCCTCGCCAGCGTATAACATCCACGCTTTGTGAAAAAGGGTTCAATTGGAGGTTTTGTTCAAGTCGATGATACAAGGTAACTTTCGACACGGTTCGGGGAGGAAACATATCAAGTTGTTCCGTCTGTTATAACTTCTTCTTTTCAGCCTTCCTCCTCCTCCTCCTCCCATGTTCTCTGTTCCTCTGTTTCTCTTTCCCTCTGCTAATAAATTATGTATGCCATCTCCAACTCACGGAGTGCTGCACTGCTGCACTATCTGCTCTAAATTGTGCTCTCCCTCTCTCGCTC